TTGCAGCGACTTCCCAATCGAAATTTAGAGGATTGCATTGTAGTTAAAATCAGTGCGATTTGTTCCTGCTTGAATTAAGGCAAAAAAGAAAAAAATTGCCAGCATACTTCAGTAGATCCTAATTGCCGATTCTGATTAATGAGCAAACATGGAGTCCCGAACGTGAAAGAGTACTGGGTTTTGTCCGGTTACCACAAAATTAGCGCTGTGCAGGCAATTTGGGTATGACATACATTCAACGATATGATGCCAAAGCTGCTGTGCTCAACGTCTTTTAGAGTTTCTCTCGGTACCACCTAAGGCGACCTCATGATTCGTGCGGTTCTTAAGGAGGTGGTGGCCATATATTCTCAAGGCAAACTATCGGCCGGAGGAGGGATTGGGTTGAACAACGCTCGGCGTCTCTTTGTATCCAGAAACGTCTGGGCCGTGCACAGATCGTCCAAGTAGTTATCTTGTTGCTTTTTATTTTAATGATTTGCACGAAGGAATTTTTCGGAACAGTAGGAATCCCCGGCCTTTTGTTTGCGCTCAGCTGCTGTGATATCCCTTTCATAGTGCTTTGTAAAAAATTGCATGGCTTACTTGTTCATATGTTATGCGTTACTTGTCAAGAAAACAGATTGTACATATCCTGTGCATTTACCACTGTTCACCTATCAGACAGTATTCGCATTTTGTTATGTTTGCCAGTTTCAAGCATAATAAAAAAAATTCGGGTTTTTTTATGAGCCACACATCCTTCAAAGTTGAGGTTTGCCCTGAGCTGCGCTTCATTTCTGCGGGCATTGTGGGAGCTGCACCCAGCATTTCGAAGGTTTGTGGCAGTGAAAGCTCGTTCCGAAGGAGAACAGTTCGGCGAAAAATCCGATAACAGCAAAAATTCACCTTGCGTTACGAGAAAAACTTATATACTGTTGCGGCGCTAGAAGCGCATGATGATAAGCAAGGCATTTATTGGCACATCAGAATAGAACAACCAACAACTGTGATGGAATGCCAGATGGAAGTGAGGACCGGGGGATCGGTGAACTTCTCAAACCCGGTAATATCCACCATCAGAATCATTGGTGTTTTGTAAGGTCTTCGGTGAGACTGGTATTTTGTAGCAGGATATATTGAGAAGAACGTCCACAAGGGTGATTTGGGTGTTTGTGATGCCCAGAGAGGCCACACAGGATTGTTCATTGAGAAACCATACGATTTGCACATCTTTAATATACGCGTACTAATTGCACATCTTTAATGGTATTATTCGAGAAAAAAAAACGCGTTCACATTCTTTGCAAGATTAGCGTCAGTTGTCGCGAGGAGAGTGCTTTTTTTTGCAATTCGCAACACTTCTGTTAAATCGGTTGCAATCGAACTCTGATTTTAACAACACAT